CCCATCTCCGAAACGTCGTTTTACGTTTTATATTTACTAGACGATGGATAATATCCAAGACAATTTTTATTCAATTGACTCTTCACCATCGTCAAGAAGTTTTAGATTTGATATAACATGAATGTAGTTTACTAGTCCACGTTAGCGACTTTAAAAAATGATAATATATAAATTGAATTAGAGTAAAAAAAGTTACAATCGATAACCACTTTCAGTAACAATACCATATTGAGTAGTGACGAATGTCTTCAATTCAGGATGGATTCTCTGATTTCGACACTTTTTCCGTAAGCCAGGATACAAGTGACTTGATCCTGGAACTCCAGTCGTCGTCGTCGTCTCTTAACCAGAGTCGGCAACTTCAAAACCAAATTGTTATTAATGCATGTATTCAGGCAACATCAGTGACAAGATAAACGTTAATATTAGCGGAAACATTCAGAGCCAGAGTGGTGTATGTCTCATAGATTTCTTGAGAATATAAACATTACAAATCCCCTGAGAGAACAGTACACTTTTGAGGACATTAAGAGTTCTCAAACGCAATTTTACTCGCATCTTTTCAAAACGTCGCCGATATTCATTTACTGAACACACAAATTAAAATTACGTCATATTTTGTTAAACATGCAACGTACTGACTCAAGCTACAGCCATTAATTATACATATCAAGATGTCTACTTAATTTATACATAGAAACTTTTCATATGCATAATGGTAAGTAGAACTATATTTTAAAGAAGAATTCCTTTGGGCTTCACAGTTTTTTTAATCTGGTAGATATTTACCGACGTTTCAGAGTCCTTGCTGCCTCCATAATCACAGCCCTGATCGAAATCAGAGCTCTGATGATGAAGGCAGCAAGGACCTTTGAATGTCTTCTGGGCTGTTGCGCCGTGTAATCTGGCAGATGTTTACCGACGTTTCAGAGTCCTTGCTGCCTCCATAATCACAACCCTGATCGAAATCAGAGCTCTGATGATGAAGGTGTCTTCTGGGCTGTTGCGCAGAGTCCTTGCTGCCTCCATAATCACAACCCTAATCGAAATCAGATCTCTGATGATGAAGGCAGCAAGGACCTTTGAATGTCTTCTGGGCTGTTGCGCCGTGTAATCTGGTAGATGTTTACCGACGTTTCCGAGGTCCTTGCTGCCTCCATCATCCGGGCAATAAGTAACTATCTCTGAAACGTCTAAAATTTCTACCAGACTACGCGGCACAGTAACCTAGAAGACAGCCGTCTTCAGACTCGCAGCCTTGAGAACCTCAAATCTCACTCAATGCAAAATACTTTGAATGGTGGTAGACCCCTGAAATCTATGCAATTCTGAACGACGAGTTTTTAGGAAATCGGAAAATAAATGAAATAGTAATTCAGAAAATTGTTGACACTTACATGGGAATTGATTTGTATAAATTTATGTCTTGAAAATTGTGTTCCTCACAATTGCTGCTCTATTCATGTTCGAAGGAGATAAAATTTTACATGGACAATTCCAAGGCGCGTGTCTGATGGGAGTGACCGCTTGGCTCATATGCGGTTCCTCTTCTGAGACCATTCAGAATTAAAATCCCTGTAAATGTTAACATTTTAATCACCTTGTATCTTGACCTGTGACCTCACACATTTGTACAAGGGATGTTTGAAAGTGCAAGGTCTAGTCCTTCGGAGTCGCTAAATGTTCCACGCCGACAGCAAATGCTTTTAATGTTTGTTTCAAGGGTTGTATCTTCGTATCTAATCAACTCAGAGCACACAAAATCAGCTTACTCTAACAAGAAGAATGAGACTTAGTCCATTCTTCTTCAAATAATATTTAAAGTGCGACCACAGAAATCGATTTCAAAGTTACATAACCTGGAAGACAGTAATGTTATTAAATAATGGTATATGGAGTGGACGTGATTTATACATTATCTTGAAATCAGATTTATATTTCAAATGCGAAAATGATGGGTTAATATAGAAACAGAGCAGGACACAACAGTCTATTCGTTCGCTATTAACAGGACAAATTTCTTTTAAAGTCTTTGATCAAATAGAAGCTTCCATTGGAATTTTCTCCCCTCTATCTAGAAAACGTTTACTCTTCGATTTTCCACCGTCAACATAGTCACTGTGTGAACTTCTGAGATGGAGAAGACACTAGTGACAGACAATTCATTTATAGTCACTGCAAGAATGTCATATGTCGTATTTATCGAAAAATCGTGCTTTTAAGTCAGTCCTAGGATTTCGGAACACTTATAGGAAAAATAATTAAATATGAGGTCTTAGCAGACGATATTCAAAACATAAGAGACGAAGAAGATTCTGGTGCTTTCTGGTGGTAAGACGTATTAGTACGGAATGAATGTCCTTGTCAGTCTACACTAAAAAAGATTGTATTCAGAGCAAGGAATTAGATAAAATGAAGTTCAAATCGAAGCTAAATATATATAAAAAAATGTGTGAATCGTCTTGTTGAACATTTAAGCTACGACGCATAAGACTTGCTATGGAAAAGACGCATTCTTAAGAGATACGAGCAAAATAAGATATTCAACGATGCCTCCGAGTACAACCGAACCAAGCTGTGACGGTTATGATTCCACTTTTGCATTTTACTTAAGGTCCCGGCTTCTAATCTTGACCCAGAAATAGGCTAATCCCTCGATTAGTACCTTAAAATAGGCCACAATGAGAATGAATCTATTATTAGGTACGATCGTAAGAGAGTTCAATTCAGAATATACATGTATAACCAAGCCCTTTAAGGTCCATTTTAATATTATACTCCGATCTCCTTCTTGGCCTTCCAAAACAACACTTTTTAGGAGTTGGTTCCCAAAATTCTGTTCCCACGTTCACCTCACAACCCATCAAATCTCGATATTTTTCCTCATCAGGCAGTAGATTCAGAAGTTACGAGATCACAAATTTTCGCTTAACTTCTTCGCATAGACGTGTCCCATACCCGTCGATCTAACCACTTTTAATTAATAATAACTAAAATTATTATATAGACTTAATTTTATTACTGGTATTATTAATATTGTCATTATTATTATATTTATTGATATTTTCTGTGTTACCAATGACCTCTCGCTTTCAAGAATCCCCCATTCGAATTACAAGACCAGGCCATCTTAACTTCTCTGGGAAAATCGCGTGAGTACATGATTCACGCATGTAGCCCTCATGTATTCATCCAGACATTCAGTTACTTTTCAGTTTGTTAGATAGACTGCAAGATAAAGTAAGTCAACCAGAAAGACAAATGTTATTAACTCCTTTAATTTCTTACAGAATGAGTTATGAATTTTGGAACAAGGTTACGATGAATTATTCAAAACTGGTTTCATGGCAGACAGATAATGATACGTAATTTGATGGCTGCTTGTAGGAAGCCAACTTTACAGAAGTTATCAGAACGATTTGACGGTTAAGAATCCATCGCAATGTCACGTCTCACTTAACACAGTAAACAAATTGGAGTCACATATTGAACTCGTAAAGGGGATATTTTTGAGAGAATAGTCCAAATTATATAACGAGAAAATTTTTTTAAATATAAATACTATTCGCCTGGGTGTGAAGATGATTTTTCTTTTTGCGATGTTGCGCCGTCAGAATCTTGTCATTATATCGATAATAAGTTTTATTAGATTATGATATATTTACAGCTGACTCTCTTTTGTACTCGAATCACACAGGAAAAAACATGTGTCATCTCATTGCAGCCCACAACGAATCTCAAACAGGCGTTTAGAACATTCAGTATGCTATTACAAACTGTACCTTGGTCTTCCCTATTTTATGATATGATACACGCCATTACTCGGATAGTTATCTGTCGAACTTTGACCCACAGGGGTCAAAGTCTGTGAGCTGCGAAGAGCGGCCATTTTTCAACACTATGATCTATTTGGAGGTTACGTTTTACAAACATATAAAAGTTTCCAGATGCGCCGTTTACGAGTTTACATATTATTAAAGCTTTGTTTTTATTGCAGATGACAATATATGAACGAGACACTGCATGGAATTACTTATAAATGTGTCCGTGTTATTTTGGGGGAGATTAGATGAGTTAATGTTCTACAGTTACAGACCCTGTAAACTTATTTCGTTTCAGTTTTCAAACTGATAGCTTTGACCAACTTCTTTACAACTTTATAAAAGCTTCATATTTCACAAATCACACCCAAATCCGTAGTCTGTACTTTTAAGAAGTCTTAAAAAGCATTGAAATCTCAATCAAACACCATTTTGAAGATCGATATTACTTCGTAAAAGGAAAACACCTATTTTGTTGGTGTTGTCAATTGGCTGTTTGTATTGATACAAGCAATGCGCTAATTTTTACGCATTAATGTGTGATGTCTACGTCGTCCGTATATAAGCAGCTTATGTAAATGCACTGTTGAGGCAAAGAATCACAAACAAAAGTTCATGAGTCATGCATTCCAGTTACTTCCCCTCACTCCTTCGTGTGAAATGGAAGGTCAGAGGGTGGCAGTATCACTAGCGGATCAGCAGAGAGAAAACTGTTCGGTTGGAATTAGAGGCCTTCTGTTGAACGGAACCTTGTAAGTACAGCAAACTAAAGCAGTGACTGTTTAACTGGTGTTTGTTTCATTGTTTGCTCATTTCTGTCACTCTTGTTTTCTCCTTATCTCTTGACTTACTGTAAATTACACACGAAATTCTTTGCTGAACGAGAAATTACTGGTTCTTTGCCTTTATGTTGTATCATTTAATGATTCTTCATTGCATGTTTAAAAACCAATCAATCCTAAGAAAGCTATGGGCAGTGACCAAGATGCTAGATCTGAGATAGTGTACTTTCATCCTTGCACAGAAAGTCAACAAAGGAATTTTGTTAATTTGTTGCAGTTATAATGCTGATTGTGTGGCTGTTTGGGCTATTGATGCCCACAATTTGGGCTGACACCCCAGCAAACTGCACATTCAGTGATGTTGCTGGAAAGTGGGTGCTGTATGAGGGGTCCAGGATCCACAACGGTTCCATTGATTGCCGAACCACTGGTCAGTAGAATAAGCCAAATTATTTTGTCAATGTGAAGCTCTCTCTCTCACACACACACACACAAATACATAGTGAAAATCAGTTCCAAAAAATTTGTTTCATAAAACTGGAAACTATGGTTTTACAGAAAAATGCCATTCTATTAAACTGGAGGTCATACAGAGTACATGTAAAAACTGTTGTGCAAACAATAATTTCATGGGACTCTACGTTATGACTTCCAATTTAAAACAATGACATTTTTTAATTAAACCATAGTTTCTGGTTTTATGAAAATTATTTCGTCTATATGGCCCACCTTAGTTTACATAACTCAGAATGTAATTCTTTAGAACTAAAGGCACATAAAAGTGATTGTAAATTACATCTGTCATCAGTGTCTGTACTTCGGAAGCTGCGTGTGAACCTGAGGTATCCCGATGTGGCTACTGATGAATTTGGAAACCGTGGCCACTGGACTATGATCTACAACGAAGGCTTTGAGATCACAATCAACCAGAGGACTTTCTTTGCATACTCCTACTTCACAAAGGTAACAAACAATGGCAGTGACACTGATCTTTCGTAATTTCATTTCTTACGTGCTTCAAGAGATTTTTGTAAAATATTTATGTTTAATAGTACCTGGAATTTAAAAAAATGAAGACTTCTTTAATGATGCTGTCAGTAGCTGAGACTATATAGCGTTGAATGACATGATGAATTTGCGATATAGAAGAAAGTGGCCACGACCTGATCTAAAGTACTATCCTGTATGTACTGAAGAAAACCATGAAACCACCTCGGTACGAACAGTTGATCTGTGGGCTATGATTTCAACCTGGGACCTCCTGAATACAAAGGAAGATGTAAAATAACAATATTAGACTCTCCAATATTCACATCCAAATCTTACGAGCCACCACCACATGCATTTCCCAATTCAGTTTTACAAAATTAAGTCACACATAGTAATTACTATTAAACTGCAGGAATCATCAAACATCACCAGCTACTGCGATCAGACATTCCCCAGCTGGTCTCATGACGTCACATTACGACACTGGGCGTGCTTCCACGCATACAAGCAAAGTCCGGTACCACCAAAAGTGCACCGCGATCCATTTCACAATTTGACTAAGGTAATGCAAACTTTATATATAAGTCACAGATTTAAAGAATTTTTGTATTGGGCTAATTTACGGGTTCAGTAATATAATTAATGTCTTCTTGGCACTAGATGAAGATCGGTAGTCAAATTTTACATTCAGAAAGTCACTTTTATAAACTGTTAATATTAACAGAGAAGTTCTAACCTATTTAGAGCCTACAGAATTTTGGTTTGTGTTTTAGTTCCTGTCTCATCTCCATTTGCTATACAAAAATTAAGTGAGTAAGTAAAGTAAAGTAAAGTAAAGTTTGTCCCACTATACGCCATGTAGGCGCTTGGGGGGAGTGGAGGTATAGCTCCTCCCTTTCTTGACCTCGGCACTAGATGGGGGTGAGTGGTCAGCATCACGCCCCGACCGGCTTTACCCCCGGGAAAGGACCCCGGTACCCATTTTAGAGGAGGCTGGGTGGGACCCAGAGCCGGTCTGGACGCAGAGGCTAGAGGAAAAATCCTCTGCCCCCGTCGGGGATCGAACCCCGGTCGTCCAGCCCGTAGCTAGTCACTATACCGACTGAGCTATCCCGGCTCATTGATTAGTTACGTTCATTTTCTTATTTTCTCTAGAGATGAATTGAGGTTCAGTACCTTTACATATTTCATATAATTTTCTCAATGTTCCAGGTAGTACAACTTTGTTTTTGTATCTGCTGTTGTAATTGGTACAACATGTGAATATGGCATTAAACCTGGAAATAAATAAATAAATACATAAATTGAACTCTCAACATTATTTCAGGTGCAAGCAGGAAAGTTTTTGATGCATTTTACAGAGCAGTGCTGAGTGGACAAAATCCAGACTATCCAAAGCCCAAGGTATTCAAATTAGCAAAAAATCAGCTGTTCCCTGAACATGGTCTTGTGTTTGAATGGTTTTATGATAAGAAAAATAATGGTACCTGGATTCCATGGACAGATGTTATGGATAAAGCACATACTCATTTGGCACCATCTGCCAAGGTGAGACATATTTGCAGAGTAGTTGATCCATATTGTCACGAATAATCATGAGTAATTTGTTGCATTCATTCTTGACATTTGTCAAACTTTACACGACAAGAGATGCTGAGGATCTGTGGTGGAAAAAGGTACTAAACAAAACCTTTGGTCCTAAAAATGATTAGCTTCATTATTGTAAAACTCAGAGCAGAGTCTGTCAGGGTGTTTCATAAAAAATTAAAAACATGGAAATCTGTCTGCTTCAGTCTAGCATAACCTGCATCACAGGGAAGATTTATTAAACAGCAATGGAATATGTTACATTTTTGCCTGAGATGCCTTTGATGTGCACCCAGGTCTTGGCTGCCTCACCCTGTTTCTACAGCGAGACCCAGCGCAGCGCTGCAAGCGATGGCCGCATCATTACCACCAGATTTCGACTGGCGTAATGTAAATGGCATTAATTTTGTGTCTCCCGTGAGGTACGGATTAGCTCACGCTACACCAGAACAACAAACACTTACAATTGAAAAATAAAATACAGTTTCCCTTAAGAAACATCTAAAATACCCAAGATACTGTATGTAATTCCAGTATTTCATATGTTAACTCTTTCAACAAACTACGGTCGATACAACGTAAGAAAAACCAACAACAGACAGTATTAATGCATAATGAATAGCTTCATAATTTGTACTCTTCACTTGGGATTCATAATGCGATCAAGTCTAGGGTATGACGGAAAATACGTAGCAAATATGTGGGAACAAAAATTCGTACAAAACTCAAGATACTCCAACGCCTTTCCACTCATGTCTTACAGAAACCAGGGTGCATGTGGCAGCTGTTATGCCTTTTCATCCATGGGGATGCTGGAGTCGCGTCTGCGCGTACAAACTAACAACACGCTGCAAGTGCAACTGTCCCCTCAGGATGTGGTCAGCTGCAGTCAACTGTCACAGGGTTGTGACGGGGGTTTCCCCTACCTTGTAGCTGGCAAGTATGCCAAGGTGGGTACAGGGAAACATTATTCACTGCTGAAGACGAAGGTAGTATATTCCTAAGAAATGTTGGTAGAATACCAGGGGATGTTACTATACAAATTTTATGCATTGCTTATCATAAATGCGTACAATGACATTTCATGCAAATGTCATATTGTTATTTTCCATCTTTCTAAAGCATAAGACTCAAAACTGGTAATATAACATCTGTGCAAGCCAGTGAATTGAAACTTAAATATTCTGGTACCTCCAAATCCTAAAATGCACCATACTGACCCTTACAAATGAACTGGTCTTCCATCTGTTTTAATTTCCAAACCATCTAACTAACTAACTAGATGGCTTACCGAACCCGAAGGTTCATCACCGAATTAACCAAAGCCCTCCACCGGATCCTGTCCTGGGCCAACAAAATCCAGTTTCCTTCAACTCCTATCTCCCATAGATCCCGCCTGAGATTATCCTCCCATCTACGTCTAGGTCTCCCCAGCGGTCTCTTCCCTTCAGGTTTCCCAACCAGTACCCGGTGCACACCTCTTGTCCCATCCATGCGCGCTACATGCCCCGCCCATCTCACTCTTCTCGACTTAATCACCCTCACAATACTGGGGGAGCAGTACAGATTTTTAAGCTCGTCATTGTGCAGTTTTCTCCACGCCCCATCATCTTCCCGCTTAGGCCCAAATATTTTCAAACCATCACTTGGAGAAAAATGAATTGAAATATTGTCATGAAAAACTAAATGGTGTTTTAAATATAAATGATTAATACTAACTAAATATGCACATTCTGTGCAGGAATTTGGTGCTGTAGAAGAAAAATGCAACCCATACGTGGGAGGGGGAGGATCCTGCACTGGACGCACTTGCCTCAAGCACTACACAGCGAGTTATGGATATGTTGGAGGTCTGTGACTTCCTCCAGGGACAACAGAAATTGACATTCAGTGAAAACATGTTATTATCTTTGTCAGATTTGAGGTAGTGATGATAATGATTTTCTTTTGGGTTTTTGTGCACTACATGGAGAGGTCAGAAGATGCTACCAACAGACTTATGCTGATCCATTTCAGTCCAGCCACCTTCACACCTATTTGAATTTTATTCTCCACCTACGTCCAGGTTTCCCAGTAGTAATGCTCTTCAGTATTTTCTAACAAAATAACAGATTTTGGAATTAAGAAGTTCTTTTGTTAAAAAAATTAATATTACATTCTGCTTATTATTGACTGCAGTGGATCGTCATTTATTTCACAGGTTATTATGGCGCTTGCAATGAAGAGCTGATGAGATTTGAGCTGGTACATGGGGGTCCCATCTCTGTATCATTTGAGGTGTATCCAGACTTCCAGAACTATGAGGGTGGTATTTACCACCACACTGGGCTGGGAGAGTTCAATCGTTTTGAGGTAATACAGCTACCAAAACCACTTGTACATAGCAATATTCATTAGCCAGGTGTCAAGATAGATTTCCCATACCCTTTAAGGATGCATGATAAATGATCCTCGAATACCGATGGTGATGCCATCTTCATATCGTGCATTGCAATATCACAAGTGAATCTCTGAACTAAGAACAATCATTGTATCTGCATTGGAGGAAATGTCACTGCCAAAAGTTTAAGTTTAGATTTAAGTTATTATTATTTATTATTGACTGCAAGTGGGTTTTTACCCGGTGGCAGTGACCTACAATAAGACACAACAAAACAATGAGACACAACAAAACAATGAGATACAACAAAACAATGAGACACAACAAAACAATGAGATACAACAAAACAATGAGACACAACAAAACAATGAGATACAACAAAACAATGAGACACAACAAAACAATGAGATACATCAACACAATGAGACACAACAAAACAATAAAAAAGGACACAACAAAAACAATAAGACACAACAGAACAATGCGACACAACAAAACATAAGACACATGTCTAATATCTTGCTGTCAACGTAATGAAACAGTCTTTAAAATGAAATCTTAACTCGGCAAAATGTTTTGTGTGTGCTGAATTATTAATGTTGTTCATAAAGAATTAAATGTAACCATCTTCAGTCCATGTTCATGATGTATATATTTTCTCCATGCAGATTGTAAACCATGCTGTCCTATTGGTGGGATATGGTGCGAATGAAACAACAGGAGAGAAATTCTGGATAGTAAAGAACAGCTGGGGTAAAGGCTGGGGAGAAAATGGTTTTTTCCGCATACGACGAGGCACAGATGAAGTCGGCATAGAAAGCACAGCGGTACACGTTACTCCCATACCTTAGACTAATGAAGCAAAGAAATGCAAATTTTTAGTCTTTAACCTATTATTTTATCTCTGCATTGGTTTATCTGTACAAGTGGACTGAACAGACTGCTGCTACTCAGACATTACCCTTCCACTGCCACATATTTTAAATGCAGCTACTTTCTCTCGGATAAAGAGGTGTGTGGTATCACCGTCTTCATATATCCCACTCCCTTAGAACTGTTAAATAATTAAATAGTCATGAAACTTGGTATGAATATTTGTACAGAGACAAGTAATACAGTACAAGACTTACAGGTTACATGCAATGAATTTTACGTAGCTCAGATCTATGCTAGTAGAAATTATGTTTTGAAATAGCTCCCTAAGTTACGCAACTTGCATACATTGTAATAATGTACAGGGCCCAGCGTAGCCATCCTGCTTGTTCCCGCTGACCGATTACTTTCTTGATCACCTCTGTAGTTGCTGCATATTACCAACATATAAATTTTATTACAAAAGCTTCTGTTGAAGTACAGCGTGAGTCAAATGTCATGATAGGACAAAGCAAACAAGAATCCAAAATTAAAGTCACAGCATCATACTACACATATTTCACTTTGCTTAGCTAAAAAGCTGAAGCAGTAGTAGTTTTTCTCAAAATAGAGAACCAGCTGAGCACCCCGGGTGATCACCCCTAAAGCTAGCCTCCAGCGGCATAATGCCCACACCAGATTCATCAACGGCCGTAACTTATTTCAATTCTTTCCACGTCGAACAAACCGTGCACTCACATTGTGAAGCACGGTGGATGTTGGCAATAATGTTAGGAGTATATTATCTTAGCATTTGTACACGGTGACTAAGGAAACACCTCAGTCAGGACAACTAACACACAGGCTTAGAATCAAACGCGGGTCCTCCTGTATGAGGCAGGCAAGCTAACCACAAAAGTGTGATGTTAGATGAGAAAGGATATGACAGGAAGTGGAAATGGCCTGTTTTAACATTCTACTATCCCAGCATTTTCTTGGTGAGGCTAAGGAAAATTACAGAAAACTGCATTTTCAGCAGCTGGTATGTAGCTAAAATGTAAAGCTGGAACTTCCTAAACATAAAGCAGCATTCAGTGAAAGGCAATCAACATGTGTAAACTCAACATATTTATTCATATATTACCAACAACAATTTATGCTAATGATACAGCCTTATCGCAGGAACGAAGGGGGAGTAAGATAGAGTGCAAGCTTGACACAAAGATAGGAATTGTAGCCAGGATCTGGCTCATAAATTGTTAAGTATTAGCTCGCGCAAAAGATATGATAATCGAAAATGGCCATAACAGTCAGTTTCAAAACAAATATGACCCAGTATAAAATAACCCAACATCTGTTCAACATTTTAATTTTGCCAGACATCGGGAAGAGTTACTACGTTTCCACGCGTTGCCAGGTTAAATGACTGAAAATGCACATAAAATGCTTATATAGTTAACATTTTTTTACACTTCATATAGAAAGAAGCTCAAGGGGACAATTTTAAGGTTCCTACAGAAATGAAATTCATTTCACAAAGAAACTGCCATTTAAGTGTACAATACAAATGTACGCCAAAAAATGTCTTGTTCTGTAGAATACAATGGCTTTACCTAGAAAGTGCCATGGTCCATACAGATAGGACAATCCTAGACATGCTTCAGCAGTCCGTACCATAGCGCTTCACTTCCAGAAGAGGAACCAAATTCTCTTCACATCTCATGTCAGTCTACCTAAGGAAATTCTAAGAAGAGTATTCATTGCTATTCTATTCTGACACAATTAGCAACAGCATATCACATTTCTCTATTCATATAAAGTACGCCTCACCTGAAACAAGTTAGGTGACATGACGTGATTTTTACACTATCAAAATTATTGAGGTAATAAAATATTCGTCGTTGCATTGCATCTTGAGCTATATTACAATGGGTCATATCAAACTTGAGTCAAACTTTAAAACAGAATCGCATATCAATCACAATCTACAGCACTCTGTCCACTCCTCCCTTGGAACAAAAGATGTTTCCAAATATTAAAACTTTAAGAAAATAATATGTAATAAAAAGGGTTACATGCCACACAGTATTTCATAAAACATTTCTTCGATGTATTTCAGCAATTCCTAAACTTTATCACACCATGAACACCTCCCATGAAACATCTAAAATCAATAAGCAAATCCCCATCTAAAATGTTTTTTCTGACCATCACCTGATTTGTCATGCATGTTTCATGATAATTTTCCCTTATGAATGGAAACAGAGCTCATGTAACCATACATCTCGAACATGCGAATAGAACAGACCACCAAAAATAACATCTCTAAAAAACAAATGAAGATATAACTGTCTGTACTAAATTTTATTTTAAAACAATATAGGCTCTCAAAAAACAGTACAGTTACACCTTACCAGCAAACACCCTGAAACATTTGGCATATCCACAGAAAACACTGTGAAGTGTGTATTTCAGTCTTATTTCGTAAACTCGTTTGAACAGGTTTTTACGGAGACAGATGCAGCCCCAGGCTTGTTTCACACAATGTAATTGGTCTTCATATGCAACAACAGTTTCCTCAATTATTCTTCTCCACAACTGTTATTTTTATTTAATTTCAAAATTCTTAACCCTGTCTATGCTATTTATAAGCTGCCATGTACAATGAAATACCAATCTTTTTAAAAACACATGCTATAAAAAGATTCTCAGAACACAGCTGTATGAAAGACAACAGTTCAAATACGAGTGTTTCTGACAGATCTGTGTCAACAGCGCATAAGAACACGTTACGTCTGTCGACGAAATACTACGTCAGACATTCAAATGCACTGAAAAAAATGTTGATCTGACACGGATCTCTTTAGTCCAAAACAATGAAGAAACTAAGCACAGGGTTGTTCAAATAAGAAGAAAAGCATAGCACTGAAAGGGTTAATGCAAGAAGTAACACGTCGGTCTATCTGTTTGTGGAGGGGAGAGTCTCGCAGACAATATTTTTACAACAGTCGGTCTATCTGTTTGTGGAGGGGAGTCTCGCAGACAATATTTTTACAACAAACCTCTAAATATTACAACCAAATCTTTGTGCAATGTAGTGAAAATTTGAAGCTATTAATACATGATCATACAAAACATTGGAAAAGTTAATTACTTTTACTGAATAAAAATAAACACCTGTAGCACCTTAGAATATACCAAATACAGACGTGCTACTCCTCTATACACGAGTGCTCAGTGACTTTGTCAGAACTGCAGGATATAATTTCTGAGATTTCCCAGTCAGAAATATCATATTAGCATGCATCTAATTCTCAATGGTCAGAGCTATGGAGAGATTAAAGATGAGCTGAATGACACTAACGATGATTATAGACGTACTTCCAACATGACTCAGCACTACAGCTGATACATGACAGAGTACCTGAATAAGCAGTTCCCCAACTGACTGCTGTGCTGACTAGACCTCTAAAATTATTCTTTGTCAGGACTTTTTCCATCGTCTGTTCTTCAAAATCACGACGTTTCAGAGGCTGGTTCTGTCTCCGTCTTCAGGTGAGAGGTACTTACTCTGTTGGGTTCCTTAGATCAAGCTAGTCTCTGTCACTGTCGATGTCTAAGGGACCCAACAGAGTAGGTACCACTCACCTGAAGACGGAGACAGAACCAGCCTCCGAAACGTCGTGATTTTAAAGAACAGACGATGGAAAAAGTTCTGACAAAGAATAATTTTTGATGTAAACTACCGTCGTCAAAACCCTTTAGAATTGAATGACTAGACCTCATTCCCCAAGATGGGTTACATGAGAAATATACTGAATGGGAAGTACAATTAACAGAAGAGAACTACATCATGGAGTTTTTGATGCTGTAAGATGCATGAATGATTGATGTTCTACTTAAGGTTAAAATAATCTTGGATTTCAGATTTCCTTAACTCCATAGCCACTGAAAATCAGACCATGTTCATATATTTCTGACTGGGAATCTCGAAAATAAGATCCTAAAGTAATGACACAAAATCAACAGACACTGTATAAATGTGTGATGTACAAATATAATAAATTATACGTCCCAACTAATTAACTACTAAAACACGACACTATTAGTCCGATCCAAGTTCCCACATCAAATTACCTATATTGATGCAACAAGAATAGGAATGAAGATCATGTTATAGCGGTACCACGTGTGCATAAAATCATGTTCTCCACATGCATACAGTTCTCAAAAACATTGGTGTAAAGAATGGTTGGTTAATTTATTTTACCACTGATCCAATCAATGTCAGCACTACAAGATTTAACAAAACGCGATGAGAATAAAACGTGTTCGAGTATATTGCAACTTCTAGTGAAATAAATATGCTTTATCAAAATTACTCTCAAGAAAATTTGATGTAATGCTATTATAAAGAATTCCAAAATGGTAACACTTAGTTGGTATACCCAGATATGTCCGCATTTCTGAAGCACGATTATGAATGAATTGGGATAAAAGTGAGATGAATTATCATGGCTTACTTTAAGGTAGGCATAGATGAACTGAGGAAAACCATATAAATCTTAGGCAGGGACAGCTGGTCCTACATAACATTTTTAACTTGGTACGTCCCATGTACGTCATTATTGTTGCACCGACCTCCTCAGTGTGCAAGATCATGAGAATAATATGGCAAGGAAATAACTGTAATAAAGTTAATATAAAACAGCAAAGCATAAAATATCTGACCTGGCCTACTTTTCCAGGTATGGAAGAATGTCTTCCTGGAACACTAACTTGTGGCATATAAACTTTATAAAATTCTGTATACATAATAAAAAGTCGCAAGAAAATAGGTCATCTCTCCCATATAACATATATACTACTGTCTGACTAAAACTATACCAAACTTTACAATTTATACTTCCTGAAACGGTGTGTGCAAAACAAATCTGTCTACACACTTAAAAGACGCGCTCATCAGGAAACCTGGTCCCTTGTACAGTCTGATAATGCGGTGAATCTACAGGCGAGTTCTACCATTCATTATATCCTCATACAGCTTTCCTGTCAGAGGGACATACTGTCCACCTGACAAGAAAAACAGCTTATCTTTGATCTGATGTGGGTTGAAGCCTTCAACTTGAAGATCCAGTTTCTTGAGCTTAAATGTGCCTGAACAAGAGATTTCTAGTCATTGAGTAGTAGGTTTCAAGATGACCTGCTACATGGATTATTTGCTATGGACAACATACTATACATCGTACAACTTCAGCTTTAGGGGATGGGCCACGCTGAATATCGAAAATTATCTGTTTTGACGTACACTGCAGGTTGAATCTGGTGTTTTTGGAAGTTGTATACAGGATAGGCCGTATTTAAGATGCCAAAAATTCCCAACCATTACAGATTCACCCTGAATACGGCAACTGAAATGTATTCCAAAATGGATAATTTTCATCATTCAACACAGCTCATCCTCCAAAGCCAAGTTGTATACCGAACTCCAGCTGTGAAAAACCGAAGGACAAGAACATATTACACATCTAAAACTACAACTTAATAATTAAACCTGACCTACATTTCAGTACTGGCATTTAAACCACACTAGATTTAATAGCTTTTTATTATTATTTAGTGTTCTGTCTGACGACAGGTCCATATGAACAGGATCCTTCCATCCTTTTCTCGGACTGGGACCTGTTCATATACGTTCTTGGCAGATGATCCAGAAGCGGTTTGCCATTGCCTTCTTCTGTGTGTAAATGGAGTAATTGTTGGGATGCCACAGAGGAAAACTCCGTGTTGCCTAGACCACGGCCTTGCCCAACACAAGTTATAAATTCGGGCACCGGCGGTACTGGCATTTCTTTCCCGCCTCATACAATGGATATACAGCTATGACTCGGGCTTCAGGAATTACCAATTAATATCATAATTTCCTCCATACTAATGCAATAGTTTTACTGTCATCAGTCAGCAGAAACTCATCTGTGTCAGATGGGTGCATCAAATGAAAGTAATCTTATATATCCCAACCCGTATACCTCCAAGTCAGACATCACAAAGGCACTTACCTGTCATCTGTAACTGTGAGAGAACTCGAATAAACAAAGGACGCGCATATGATGGTAGGTTTTCCTGTACTCCCTTCACAAATGTAGCAAGATTAAGCGTATTGTCGGTATCTACGATAGCTGCCATTCCTGCACGACCTTCGACATGTGGTACCTGTAATCACAATGACCACATGCTCTGTGTCACTTCATATTTTTCTTCATAATTTTCACATTTATGCAATAATTTTATATGCGTTGCATAAATAATTATGTAACTCTTTTTTCTTGTATCTGTACATATTTTCTATATACTATGTAAGCCTCCTGTAATTAGAGGTCTCTCTGTCAGAAGCAAATAAATAATATCTTTTGGCAACACCATCCCTCCTAGCAACAAGCACAGAAGACCTATTATGGCTTATCATGAAAGAGAATTTTGTTTAGACACGTTCCTACGCAGCTTCTCTAGGTTGATATTTTATAATTTTGGCGGAAATCCATCACAGATCACTCACTCAAAACACAGTTTCCAGCTCTTACATTATTTATCATATGAAAGCCCTCTTACATAGATACTTTCTATGTTCTCTGTGGACATGAACAAAAATAAAGGACTGATCACATTTATACAGAAAATAAATCAGATATGTACAGCAAGATCAATACAATTTTATATGAGAGATGCAGTATAGCATA